TCATGCTCCTGTTTGCTTGACTATCTGGTTTATTATATATATATATATATAGTTGTAAAATATATGTATTTATTTAAAACTACAAGTTTGTGTCGACTTCTCTGACTCCATTTTGGACACTGGCTGTGCAATCTTCTCCAGAGCACCTGAAGGCAGGACAAGAAGCAACGGATGGAAATTCATCAAGGAGAGAAGCAACCTGGAACTAAGGAGGAACTTCCTGACAGCGAGAACAATTAAATCAGTGGAATGACCTGCCTCCAGAAGCTGTGAATGCTCCAACACTGGAAGACTTTAAGAAGAGACTGGACAGCCACTTTTCTGAAATGGTATAGGGTGTCCTGCCTGAGCAAGGGGTTGGACTAGATGACCTCCAAGATCCCTTCCAACTCCAGCTATGCCGGCCTTGGGAATTCTGGGAGCTGAAGTACACAGATTTGGAGATCCCTGGCCTACGACAACTGCCGTTGGGGGTGGCAGCCATACGCCACCCGTGCCCACCAGCCTTCCTTGGTTCACCCCAGCACTGAGGCGTGGGTCAGACTAGAGTGGGAAGACCCTGATGCAAAACCCCTCGATCCTGGGGGGATTCTGGGACAGCCCCTCACTCAATGAACCTGCTTCCCACTGTGGTGGTTGGGAAAATACAGGAGGGGGAAATATAATCTGTGCCACTTGCATCTCCTGGAGGAAAAGCGAGATTTATTAAAGGAAGAAGCCCACAACAATCCATCTTCGCCAAACTCTCTGGAGAAGGACCTGATGCTTGGGAGGAAAGAGGAGCCCCTGCCCGGCTGCCAAGTGGAGGGGGACAGTTGCAGGGGTGATGGGGGCACGGATGGGAGGCCTTGGGGGGGAGGGGCCCTCGTGGGTGAGGCACGCAGTCCCTGGCCTCCGGAGTAACTTGGCGGTCAATCCGTCTCCCTCCAGCTTGGCTGGGAGTGTGGCCAGCAGAGGGAGCCCAAGGACCACAACAGCTCAGCCACCGCTGGAAACCCCAGGCAGTCCTCCACTTACGACCACGACTGAGCCCAGAATTTCTGTTGCTAACGGAGACAGTTGTTACGAGTTTTGCCCCATTTTACGACCTTTCTCGCCAGTCGTTAGGTGAATTGTTGCAGTTAACTTAGCGACACGGTCATTAAGTGAATCTGGCTCCCCCCTTCTTTGCTTGTCAGAAGGTCCAAAAGGGGATCACGTGCTCCCCCCTGAGACGCTGCAACCGTCGTAAGTACATGCCGGTTCCCACGCGCCTGGATTTTGATCACGTGACCCTGAATGGGCGCTGCAATTATTGTGTGAAAACCGAGCATAAGTCACTTTTTTCGGTGCCGTAACTTTGAACAGTCACTAAATGAGCTGTTGTAAGGTGAGGACTGCCTGTATTAGAACTTGTGAAAGGCTGCAAGGCGGGGGGCAGGTTGATCCAGAGTGGCTGGGCCGGCTGCTGCCACCGGACAAGGCAGGGCCAGTGGCCAACCCTCCTCCAGGACCAGGAGCCAAAGCGAGGAGGGGGCAGGAGGGAGGCCGGCAGGGACCCCGGGGGCCGTGGGCTGGACTGGGCGGGGCACCAGTGGAGCCTCCATATGCAACAGGACTCTACCTCAACAATTCCAGGAGATCAAATCTTAGCAGAAGACACCACCAGACAATAAACATGCTTGTTTTTAACAGGAGTGATGAAGCCTCTGTGGATCTTGGGGTGACACCAGGAAGCCCCCCACAAGGGCTTCTCATCAGCCCCACCCAAGCCCACCACCCGAGACACCAAGGGTGACGGCAGCGGGCGACCGGGTCTCAGTGTGGAGAAAGCCAGGCGGATCTACGGCTTGAGATCTTTTATTGCACTTCATTTTTTTTCTTTACATGAATTTGAAAAAATAGATCATATATTCATCATAAAAAGTGCATTTTTCCCAAAGCTGTCTTTATTTGCTGTTTTGCTGACCAGTTAAGTGCAGGGCAGGAGGGCCAAAGCAGGGGTCTCACTTCGCCTTCCCTCTACCAGCCCTCAGATGGCTTCATCAAATACATCACAAAAAAATATTACAGCACAAAGGGGTAAATAACAATAATTAAAAATAAAAATATCCCCCCAACCCCAGTAAGGATCTCTTTTGGCTTTTTTGTTTGTTTTTTTTATAAAAAGTTGGTTAAATAAAAGTCCATAGGTTAAAAAAATAAGATAATTAAAAAAAACACAACATCCAAAGCTTGGTCACAAGAAGAAGTTTTGGAAACATTCTGAATAGCATCTTGGCGAGTTCTGAGGAGCCGAGAAGCAGCACAGCAGCTCTCTCGGCCCAGAAACGCACTCCAGGCGGGTTCAGCAGAGGCACAGGGGGGAGCAGGCGGCACAAGACACCCCAGGGATGCAGAGCAGCTGAGGGCCCCCAGCACAAAAGGGGAAGCGTCCCTGGGTGGGAGGCTCGGGGGCCGCTCAGAAGGGCCGGTGCTCTCCAAGAAAGCGCACTTGGCACAGCTAGGGGGTGGGGTGGGGGCCCAAGAGCCCCCAGGCCAGGAGAAGCAGCCTACATGCCACAGGCCTGGAAAAGCAGCAGTGTGATTAGACCAAGGCAGGGGAGGGGGAGGCAGTGAGCAACCGAAGGGGTCACACTCCACACTACCAGTCTAAAGCAGCAGAGACAGATCCAGCAGCCTGGCCTGAGAGCAGACCGGCTGCAGCTGACCATCCTAAGTGGGATAATGCAATGAGTTCGAGGTGCAACTGGCCAAGGTCAGGAAACATAAACCCAGTCCCCAACTGCAGGGAAAGCGGTCACTCGCAGAAGTCCCTTCACAGTATTTGTCACCCAGCCCCGACCTCCCCCCAGCCCCTCCAGAAACCAGCCCCTTCAAAGAAACTGAGGGAGGGAGGTGGCCAAAGGAAGTGGATCCCTTCTAGGGAATGCAGAAAGTCCACTGGTCAAGCCCACCGGGTGGATGGACTCACTGAAAGCACCGCTGGGCCTGGCAGGAAGTGGCCAGCCCAACTACCACAACACTGCAAGAAAAATCTCAGCTGGTTTGGTGTTTTTTTTTTGCAGGCCCCCCTTTCCTTTGGCTTCTCGAAAGTTTCAGATTTTACCATTTCCTCCCAGATAAAGTGTTTTTATATCACTCATCAATCCCATTTCCAAAACTGGAAACCAGAATAAATCTTTAAAAGTCGACACTGACTTGATGGCACAATTAATTTGCTTGGCTGAAGGTTTCAGGGAGAGTCGAATGCCCACCAAAGAAATATCGCCCGGGCCTCAGAGAATCCAATGCCCAAAATCAGTCTTACAATTTGCAGAAGTCCACAGACGATTAAGAAGCAAGGCTGCAGCATTTTGGCCCACTTTAATATGACAAAAGCTTTCAGCAGGAATGTGCCCAAGTAATCCACACAACGTCTGTCCTGACCGGCCACTTAATGCGGCTTTTTCATCCTAGAGGAAGCAGATCGTGTAGGAAGGGAGCCCGGGTGATCCAAGACTCAGGATGCGAAGTTGACTTGCGAAAGCGGTAAAGTGCCAGTTTTAAAACCATGCAGCTAACACAGTTCACAAAGCCACCACAAGACGGGAGCTGGGTGAGGGCAGCATGGGGGGGGGGTCTTCCCCCTTAAGTTTTCCTCTCCGCAGGGCAGCCCCCTGGCACGGCCCCCTTTGACAGCAACAGTGATGAAGCGTGGAGAGAAACGGCATCGTCCAGATCCACCAAGCGTGCGAATTCAGTAGAAGGCAAATCCTGTTTCCAGGGGAAAAGGTGGGCTGGGCGCCCTCCGAGGAGAGGGACCCAACTCACACCCCAGCAACGTCCTCCTTTCTCCTCTCGATGTGGGCATCGGCCGAGGAGGGGGCCAAAGGACAACCATCGGCTCCACCGTGTGCTGCACCCCCAAGGAGGGAATGAGCGCATCGCAAGGGCTAGAGGCCGCGGCTGCAGCAGAGCGGGTTAGAGGCTCCCAGGCGGTGCGCCCAGGCACATTGGGGCTCTGGCCCCCTTTGCCCAGCCCGGCGCTGGCAGGGGTGGGTGGGCTGGCAGGCTAGACCCAAAGGCGCAAGTTGTGGGTTTGAGTGTCACAAAGCAAGGAGCGAGGGAGAGTTCAGAGAGTCCGGGGAGTGGTCGCTGCTGGCGTTCCGCTGGTGGCTGGCTCCGCAGGTGGCTCCCTCTGGGTAGGTGAACACAAACGAAGACGTATAGGAAGGGTTAACTGGGTACGGCTCAGTCAGCTCTTCAGCATGGCTAAAGTAAGAACTAGAAAACGCTACCTCCGCCGGGGCCGGGGCTACGGCCGGGAGTCCGCCCAGGACCTGCTGGTAGTGCAGAGGCACCGAGGCGTAGGGGGCCGAGGGCCCAAAGGGGTCCTCCTTGACCGGCATGGCCAGGGCGCTGACCTCTGCCGAGGGGCCGGGCTGCCCACTCAGTTCCGTGATGTCCTGGTAGGGGATTTTGCAGCTGCCCTTGTGAGTCACGAGGACGAATTCCAGCCGCTGCCGCTCCTTCTGCAGCTCCGCGATCTCCGACTCCAGCTCGGCTTTCTCTTCCTCCAGCTGGTCCGTCTCCTGGGGAAGAGGCAGCACCGGTCAGGCTGGGGCTGGAGCAGCCGGGAACTGGGGGGGGGGAGGCAACTGGGTCGGCCTGGAGCAGCGCTTCCTTGGTCTTGTCTGCTCCTTCCAGGCCCGTTGGAGACGCAGCTCAAGGGAAGCATTAATTGTTGGGACCCCTCCGCGCACCCCCCCGAACCCCACCTTCCAGGCTGCCCCCTGCTTGAAGGGGCAGGGCCCGGGGTCCCTCCCAGGGGAGACCTCTGGCCTCCGCGGGGCTTCGGGGGTCCTTCTTTGTGGGTTTGGCTTGGGCCGTGGCTCACTGCAGCAGACCCCCCACCGGACCTTGGTGAGGGAGGCAGAGGAAGCTTCTCCCTTCTCCCCTCCCCAAATGGCCCATGAGTGCAGGAGGAGGAGAAGGTCCAAGGGGGCCCCCTTCCTCGGCCACCCCCAAGCAGGCCGCTGGAAGACCCAGAGCGGTGCCCCAGCAGCCTCCCTGGCCTGGAGCATTCCACTTCGGAGGGCTGGTGGAGCAGCATCACCCCCAAACCTTACTTTCGGGAAACCCTGCCAAGTGCGGTCAGAAAAGTCAGGATGGCGTCGGCAGCAGCACAGAGGGAGCTCTGCCCGCTTTCTAGCAGCTGCGATGGCAGCTTTGGGGCTGCATTCTTGATTTTTGGACCGCCCCCCGCAGACCCCCCTGCCCCCTTGGAATAAAAGAATGAGCGATTCTAATTCAAAATCAAACATCCCTCCTCCTAAAAACAGATCAGAGCAAGTCCTCTCAAGGTAAAGTAACTCAAGGCCAGGGATCTATCCTGATGACTGGATCCTCGCTTAAGCAGGTCCGAATGGCCGAAGCCTTTGACTTAAGAGTCGGAAGGACATTTGAGGGACACGATCAGCCTGGATGGGGCTCCCACAGAGCCCTAATGAAATGGGGGGGGTTTGACAACATGCACCCCATGGGGCAGCCTCTGTGCAGCCAGAGCAGGGACAAGACACCAGATTCCCTCCTGGGGGGCTTTACAAGGAACAAGGATAACATTGACTCAGTCCCCCCCCCCCGTTTGCACCAAAACTCACCGCTTGGAGCCGGTCGGTCAGTTCTCGTCGTCGATTCCGGCACTTGGCAGCCGCCAGCTTGTTCCTCTCCCTGCGGACCCGGCGTTTCTCTTCCTCCTCGGGGGTCAGCTGTGCGAGCAGAGAGAACAGATCGATCAGGCCAGGGGGCCTGGCACTTCCTTGCAACTGGAGGGCAAGTTAAAGGCACCCCCAAAATGCGGAGGGGAAGATGGAACTGCGTCTTCACCCTCTGTGACAGATGGAGGGGGAGGGGAGGGAAGGGGGGGGAGGGAAACCAAACTTGCCTATTGGAACACTTTAAAGATCTTTAAAGCAAATTTATTTCAACCCCAGTTCAGTTTTCAAGGCTTGTTTTATGGTTAAGGCTGGTTTTTATCATGTTGGTTTTGCTTTTCATAACCTTAATGCCTTGTACCCTACCCAGAATCTTTTAGATAAGGTGGTCTATAAAACCTGAAAATTAAATAAATAGACCTAGCATATTTCTAAACCGATAATGCTCTAAATTGGGGCGGGGGGGGGAAAGTACCATGAAATTATTTTTCCCCATGAAACTCAAGAGTCTGTGTGCCTCACAAGAGGGGACTCTGCATGCACTGCAGTCCACTAGTCTTAAAGTTGCCAAGGTTGGAGAGCCTTGCCTTCTGAGAGCAACAGCGCTTAGATTTATCTACCGCTTCAGGCTGCTTTACAGGAAGCGGTTTACAGAGTCAGCCTGTTGCCCCCAACAAAAATCTGGGTCCTCGTTTTACCAACCTCGGAAGGATGGAAGGCTGAGTCAACCTTGAGCCGGTGAGAATCAAACTGCCCAACTGCTGGAGGCCAGCAGAAGGAGCCTGCAGTGCTGCACTCTGACCACTGCACCACCAGGCTCCACATATCTCCTCCTCAAGGCATGTCAAATCAGAATAGTACCTTATAGCCACAAGTAACTCGCCCAATGTTGGTTAATGCAGCTTTTGGTTCAGCAGAACTAGCTTCTGTTTGGCCCCAAATGTGGGGCTGGCAGAACTCGTCCTTTGGATTTCCTGGTAGCATTTGAAGCCATAAAGGATCATCAAGATGATCTTTGCAACCCATCAAACTCATCGCACCAGGAAGTTCCGTTTTCCAGATTTTTTTTTATTTTTTCAAAAATGAATGCGAGCTTAGCAAATTGCAGCGCACCCATTGCTGCCCTACCTGTATCTTCCTCCCAAGAATAGAATTGGGGAAGGGGGCTGCCTGCCAGGCGCTCTGTATTTCTTGAGGTGAATGTGTGTTTTTGTGAGCAGCAGCACTCCACACAATTCCCATTTTGTGAAAACACCCACAATAGATTCTCAGTGGTGAATGGACTGTTAGGGTGCTGGGGGACAATCCTCAGGAAGCCCTACTTCTTCTAGCTATATTAAGCCCCCCCCCCTCAAGGCATCCCAACTTCCAAGGACACAATACAGAAACTGGGAATCTCTTCTGGGAGATCTCAAACTTTTAGCAAGCAAAGGGAACAGAGTTCATGATCTCCTGGTCGAGGAATAAAAAGCAGCTCACCGTTTCTTCCCGTGCCCTTCGGGGCCGGGCCCTGCTGGACCGAGGTGGGGTGGCCACAGCCATGGGGGCAGTCGAAGGGCCAGCCCCATAGGTGCCCATTCCCGGGGCAGCGTAACTGGGGCCGGGCAGGTCATAGGGGTCCACTGTGGGTGGGGGTGGCCCCGAAGGCTGTGGCTGCTGCTGCTGCTGCTGCTGCTGCTGCTGCGAGTGGGCCATTGAGGAAATCAAGGTAGGCTGCACCAGCCACTGGAGGTCTTGGCTTGTGGATATAGCAGTCACTGTTGGCACAAAAGATCCGGGCATTTCCCCAAGGCCGCTGCACTCCTGGAGGGAAGCGAAGGGGTCACGTGCTCATTACAGGGGTCTGCTTTGAAAGACGGGGAGCACTTCCCGGGCTGCACCAGCCCCCCCCCAGGCGGTTCCACGGGCATCCCACGCCCAAAGCGGCCCCCATTTGCACTGCTCCGGTGTCCAGCATGCAGGGGCCCAAACTTGGGGGGGGGTCACCAGCCAGAAGGCAGCGCTCAGAGCTCTGGGCGGGCTCCCGAAGCCGAAAGCCGGCTCTGTCAAGCCCTGGCCGGGACCCCGAGCGCTGCTTGGCGGGGGCTTCCTCCTGGCCCGCTGGCCAGCCGAGATCAGCCCGCGGGGAGGCACGAGCCTCGGCGCCCGGAGCGGGAGGCGGGCACCCCGGCGGGCTCCGTTCCCCAGACCCGGGGGCTCCCCGGGGTCGCCCGAGCCGGGCAGGGGCCGGAGCGGAGCCCGGGGGCAGCCGCGCTCCCGGCCAGGGCGGCACTTCGAGACCCATCGTCCCCAGCGGGCAGGAGGTCCGGCGCTCGGCGGGGAGGCGAGCCAAAGCGCCGCCCCTCGAGCGCCGCCGGGCAGGGACGGCATGGCAGACGCCCGCCCGGGCAGCCCCGCAGGAGCCCTTCGCCCGCGACCCGCGACCCGCGTGGGGACCGGCCGGGGCAACCGCGGCGAATGCAGCCGGCGGAGGGGCGGGTCGGAGGGGGCGCGGCCCGAACGCCACTCGGCCAATCCGCGCGGCCCTCAGCCCTGCTCCTCCCCTTAGCAACGGGGGCGGGCCAGCCTTCCAAAATAACCCGCGCGCCTCGGGGAGGAGGAGGGGGAGGAAAACGCGCCGTACGTGCCTCACGTCAGTACGAAGCGTTCCAGTACGTCATGCGTTACGCACAACCCCGCCCCCCTTTCTCGCTCGCGTTCTCGCCTCTCCTCCGGGCCGCGTGCATGGAGGGATGGGACGGAGTTGGATTGCGGACGGCGGGGAGGACTTGGGGGGAGAGGGCGGCGACCCCCTTTGCAACGCCTCGAACGGCGCGGCGCCCGGAGGCCCCGGGAAAGACGCTCCGCGCGCAGGAACAGCCGCCCCGACGGGCCATGCAGGCGGGGGAAGCGAGCGGACCCCCCAAGTCTGCCCATGAGAGGGGCGGGGGGCGAGCAGCGAAGGACAGACGGGGGTCGCAAAGCCCCCCCCCCCGGATCGGACCATCCGCGCTGCTCCCGCCCTCCGCGGAGCCCCCAAGACCCGCAGCCGGGCGACCCTTCCTTACCTGCGAGGAGGCGGCGGCGGGGGCCGTCGGGCTCCCGAAGGAGTCCACCGAGGAGAGGTAATGGGACTCGGCCGAGGGGGACGAGCTGCACCGGGAGGTGGAGTCGTAGTCTCCGGGGAAGCCCTGATACATTTCCCTCGGGGGCGCAGGCGGGAAGCCGCGGCCGCGCGGGGGTCGTCTGGAAGCCAAGATGAGGGGCGAGCGGGGCCAGCCGGCGAGCGAGCGGCCGGCCGAGAGTGCCGCCGTCGCCGCCGCCGCCGCCGCGAGGTTGGTTCGGCGAAGTTGCCCCTGAGCGGAGCCGGCTGGCTGTGCTCCTCCTTCCTCCCCCGGCGGCTGTCAGTGCCCGCGGGGCAGGCGGCGCCCTGAGCGGCGGGGGGCTCGCCCGGTCCTAGATCCACGTGTTGCAACGGCGGGGCAGTGCCGGTGGCAGCGTCCGCTCGAGTCCGCCGGTTCCCGGGAGGAGCGCTCCTGCCTCCGGTTCCTGCAGCGCCCGCAAAGCCCGGCGCCTCGGCTCAGATTGCGGCGGCCACGGGGACGCGGGCGAAAAGCGGAGTCCAGCGCCGCCGGGATCCCTCGCGGCTCCGTCTCCGTCGCGGGTCAAAATCTTATGAATGAAGCGCGCCCGACAGCGGGGCTTATTTATACAAGGAAGGGGGCGGGTCCCTGCTCACGTCACCACTTTGGAGTCGCCGAAACCAGGCTCCCGGGCCGCCTGCGCGCCCCAAACTCGGGCGGTGGCTTGCTCCGGTCCCGGCGGCTCCTCCAGCCAAGCAGGGTCTCTCGTCGGCCCCGGCAAAGGGGTCTTTTTCAAGCTTTTTCAGGCGCCAAAGCAGGGGATCCCTCGCTCCGCCCTGCGGGTGTTCCTGTGACGCAATTAACCATATTTGGTCTTGTGCTGTGTTTGTTTGGTATCCTTAGCAATACGTCAGAGGGAATCCCTTTCTGCTAAGCCGCGCTGCTGCGGCCGCACCAGCCGCGCTGATCCGCCCCCTGAGCGCGCGCGGCTTTTGTTGGGTATTAATAGAAACTTTTACTATATTCTAGAAACGGCATGAAAGCTCCGCGGCGGGCAGGGAAGCGCGCAGAGGAAAAGCTTTCCCCTTGCCGCCGCGGACAAGCGATGCACGGTCCCTCCCCCCCCAGCCAGGGAAAGGAGGACATGCTGCACCCCGGCAAGGCCGTCAATGTGGGGAGCTCGCTGCCCCAGGATGGAAGGACGGCGGCCTTTCCGCCCAAGGGAGCCCGATTCCCGAAGGAAGGTAGACGGGTCCTTGGTCCGTCTTGGACAGCGGCTTCCCTGTCCACGCCCAGCCCATCGTTGGGGTGTGAAAGCTTTCTTCCCCGGGCGAAGTATTCAGGTGTTTATGGCCCACATTCCCACAACCACAGCAAGGAGGACTGGCACCTTGAGGCCGAAAATGTGCGCTTATTTATTCTGTATTGTCACTTAACCCATGCGAGAGCCTGCATTCAGCTGTGCTGCGGGTCCCAGAGCCCCTCAAGAGACCAGCGGGCACCCAGTCCCCCTAATCTCCAGGTGCGGTTTCATTCATAATCAGATGTATTACCGTTTCCAACAACCACTCTGCCACTTTACAGAGATGACTCTAACGGAGCTGCCATCTGAAACTGCCACCGGCTGGGTCAGCCAGGCTAACCAGTTACCCTTTAGCTGGCTCTGGGTTTGAACCCTTCCTGTGGGGGCCAGTTTCTGGGTCAGTGTGTTGCCCAAGTTCATGAACTGGGTTAATTGAGCAAGACATGGTTGACCTTACCAAGAAGA